GCGTTTCTGTTCTCGAGGGCTAGAAAAGGGTGTTTAAATCTTGGAATTTCTTACGTTAGCCTTATAATTTTTCACAATCACCTCCCTCAGGATCCTGCGCGTGTGGTGGAACAAGCGAACCGGCCACGACAACCAGCTCAGCGAAGCCTACACGCGCTGGGAGCAGGACTACGACCTCGCCCCCTACACCAGGCTCTCCCTCTTTAACGAATACCTCGAGATGGGTCAGTGCGCTTATCTCCGTTATCTCTGCAGCTCTTGACTGATCTTTTTTACTTTATAGGGTAGATAGTCTTGATGAATAATAAGAACAGGCAAGTCTTAAAAACGTCAGTCCGATCGTACTACCCAATAGGCTTAGATATTTAACGGTAGGTGTTTATAATTGAGCTCGACCTGCAACAAGGCCTTTGATCTACTGAAGGCGAGTGCTCATTGTCGTGTGGTTTCCAAAGAGTATCTATTATCCACTGTCCTTCTGTATATAAAATAAAATCGAGTTGCGTACGCCAGCGAATCGTTGAATAAACAAAGGAAAAGCAATAGGATTTTTCAAGTCAGAATCATTGAGAAAAAAAAAATAATAAAAAAAACAAAAGCGTTAGGTATTTCTCTGATTGTGAATAATGGTCTGGATATGACGTTGACCAGAGCATGAGATTCACAGACATGAACAGGATTTCGATGCTCACTTCTTTCTCTTTTCTTCCGCGACAGTGATCCAATACGGGTTCGTGACGATGTTCGTGGCCGCCTTCCCTCTGGCTCCTTTCTTCGCCCTCATTAATAACTTCATCGAGATCCGCCTGGACGCCTTCAAGTACCTGACGCAGTGTCGTCGGCCGCGCGCTGAGAGGATCCAGGACATCGGCATCTGGTACTCGATCCTCAAAGGCATCACATACTTCTCTGTCGTCACGAACGTAGGTCTCCGTCGAGCTTACGAAGCCTCACAAGTCCTGCGGGAAATATGCCAACATTGTGTCTCTTATATTGCCATTTAGCGTGTTTGTTTCTTTCATAAAATGATCTTATTTTAGAGGTGCGTGACGTTTCCTTTAGATACAGATTTCTCTTGATGGCTTTGTATTATTTTATAACAGGCTTTGGTCATTTCGTACACGAGTGATTTCATTCCCCGACTCGTGTACATATACCAGTATTCGGACAGTAACAACCTGGTGGGATACGTCAAAAGCAGTCTTTCAGGTAGGTCTCTTTCAGTGCGGTCTGTGAATGTGAACTATTTCATTTCATATAGACACGCACGCACGAGCTCTCATAAACACGCCCACACACACAAACACACGCCCACACCCACACATCCACACACACAAACACACATCCACACACACAAACACACGCCCACACCCACACATCCACACACACAAATACACCCACACATCCACACACACAAACACACGCCCACACCCACACATCCACACACACTTACCCCCATCCCCACCCCAATACACACACCCTCCCACACACCATCACCATTGACAAAGAAGCAAACAATCCGCCAACAAGCAAACCCATTAACCCCCTCCCCCTCCCCCCTCAGCGTTCAACACGTCGCAGTACACGAACGAAATGGGCCCCGAGAACCGGACGGGTTGGCCAGAACTGTGCTACTACAAGGCATATCGCAACGGCCCGGCGGACGAGAACCCTTACGACCTCAACCAGCAGTTCTGGCACGTGGCTGCGGCTCGTCTGGCCTTCATTATCATATTTGAGGTAAAAGGGCGAAGCGTCGGAGTGTGTTGACGTTCAGAAGGGCGATTCACTGATAGTATTTAGGGTTAAAAGGCCTGGGTGTCTGTGTGCCTCGGAGTTCAGGAGAGTAACTGGAGTCATGACTATAATGATAATGGGTGTGCTGTATGTGTTTTTAGAAAGACTGACGAGAGCATAGTGCTATTAATATTGAATATGAATTTGTTGAGTAAAATATGTAATGGTATAATGTTTATCGATAATCAAAGTTATTTATAAGAATGTGTATATCACCTCAACGCAGCCATTTGAGTATTGAAGAAAAAGATGCCGTGCTTTGAAAATACACGCCACCGATTTTTTTTAACCAAACAAATTCTGAAATATATCTCAGTGAGGGGACTCAAAAGCACAGCTTCCAAGAAATACATTAACTGAACCATCCTTTGCTTTCCCGCCGCCAGCACATCGTGTTCTGCCTGACGAGCGCCGTAGCGATGGCCATCCCGGATATTCCCGTCGAAGTGAGGAACCAGATGCTGAGGGAGAAGAAGGTATGGCAGGTCTTGTGGGGCGGGACCTGTTGTTGATCTTTGAGATAAGGAAGATAGAAGTCTTTTCTTAGAGTGTGGGATGATTTCCTGTTTCTCGTGTTTTGAATTCAGTTTTGAGGTCTGAGCTTAACTTGTTTGAATAACGCCCCATCAATTCTATGTTCTTCGTTGCAACAAAGTTCACAGGTTTTCTTGTATTTCTTTTGCACTGAGTTGTAGATCATGTGACTTTTATAACGTAGAGTTTATCAATTGCAATAATAACCGGAGCTGTGGTGAGCATAGTTTCAAAGCAACTCATAACAATTTAGTTTCATGACTCCACATTCTCCATAGTTTTGTCAATCAGACGAACGACCTTTTCTCACTCCCTTGTCCCCGCGCGAACAGGTCGAGAAGGAGACGCTGTTCGAGAACGAGATGAAGAAGATCCGGCAGGAGCGGCTAGTGCGCAACGACCGCGTGAGTTCGCCCGAAGACGATAACCTGGACATCGACCTGGGCGAAGGACTGCAGACGCGGCGGAACTCGCGCGTCGCCACGCCCACCCTGGCCTCGGGGTTATTCCACGAGCACAACGCATAGCAGCGATCCTCACCTGTGTAGGCACTTTTCTTGCATGTAGCTGGTCGCGGTAGGAAGGAGTTCAACTTTCAAGCACCATAGTTGCGCAGTTTCCAAGCTTGGCCGACAGGGGGGGGATGAGGTTACCAGGTAATCGACGTTGCCGGGGGAGGGAAAGCAGTCCAGTGTCGGGCCTGAGGTCGCGTTGCCGTTTGCCTCCTGAGAAAATGTCATTCCTTGCAGTCTACTTGAGAAGTAGGTCGATAGGAAAACTTGGCGTGACGCTCTCAGTCCCAGTGCCGATGTTTGAATATATTTTTATTCAGTGGTTCGCACGATATCAGGTTTTCTGACCGAAGTCTTCCCGATTTTAGACACCTTATTGTTGTAAACTATACGATAAGTCTTACTGAAGACATATTTTGTGAGACAGAAGAATTATATTGCAGATAATTTCTCCCATAGGGAGCATAAAGTTAAAGAAAAACACACATATGACAAAAATAGAAAATTACTCCTACAACCAAAGATAGCAAGTATGTAACTGTCCAGATTTTATATTGTAAGTATTCACCATTTTTGTGAACACATTAAACATTTACGTCACCAAAAATCCATTTCATATTAAGAGCATTTTTGTAACACGTTTCTCTAAATGTTGTAAGTCGTATGATAAATCCTTTATAAAAGTCAGTGCTGTTTGCTGTCTTATCTCAGCATGGATTTTGAAAACAATATAAACAATTTCATACTTGTGCACATGTAACTGTGCCTGCGCGCGCGCGTGTGCGTGCGTGCGTGCGTGCGTGCGTGTGTGTGTGTGTGTGTGTGTGTGTGTGTGTGTGTGTGTGTGTGCGCGCGCGTGAGTACGTGCGAGAGTGTGCGTTAGTTCGTGCGTGTGTGTGGGCATGCATGAGCGTGTGCGCCAGTGCATGCTGTGTTTAACATGCACACCCGCACAGATATCCGATTCTTTACTTGTTCATTATAGATGACAGTGTGATTAATACATGCTATGAGAGAACAGTCTGCATTTTATACGACATGATGACTGAACATTTAACTGAATCAGTGCCCCTTTCTACCCGGTGTTCCCCTTAGAAGTTTCCAGATTATGAGGATTGGACCAACAAGTGCCCTTCGCTGTATCAAACTTTGTCATTGAACACACTCCACAACAAAGGAGAGCCTGTACAGTGGGAAGGATATAGAATGACTGAATGCTGCCTCTGTATGGTTAAAAATCTCAGCTCTTCGAAACTAATAACAACAAAGATGAGCAATATGAGCTTACTAAGATATAAGTGCCGAATGTATAAGTGTACTTCAGTTCACAAGTTTCCTTTGGGGATAAGTAGAGCCGCAGTTTATATTAGCTTTTTGACATGGTAAAGTTTTGAGATCTTCAAGTCTGCAATTCCAAATTAACGAATTAATTTCCCGAGTTCACTTTCACAAATAACGAAAAATGAATAAATGAGAATGAGTAACTTCAAGCATAAGGGGATGCAAATGATATCCTTCTTAAATCTTAATCTATGTAATGCTGATGAGGATTTAATCAAAATGCGTCAATTTCATCTCCTGTATTTGCGAAGCAGGTCTTTCTCACTGATACTTTTTCTCTAAAAGTCATACAGCTATTATGATGCCCTACTTTTAACTACCCAAATCTGAATGATAGTAAGATTTTCCAGCAAGATAAGATCTTATTGTTGTTGTTGTTTGTAGATGCTATATACGTAAAGTGATTAAAATTTCCACTTAATAGACTGAATGGATTGAGAACGTTTCTCTAACATATCATTAGACCAGACTACATTTTCTTCACCATATTCAAGGTAAAAGCTAAGTTCTTCACACTCTCTTAATCACAGACTTGCACTTATGTTGTCATTACACAGTCATTATGATCCAGCCTGCAATATATGTGGTGTATGAATGTGTTTAAGAAATGCTTTACCTGGATTTTACTCCAGAAAACTATCTGTGATACATAGTTAAAGTAAATCTTGGGGAATGCTTCTTTTATACCGTTTTTTCTTGAAAATCTAACAATAAATACTTTCATAACTAAGAATGGAACAAATATAAGAACACAGGTATTTTCACTATGTACACTTCTTCACAGACCAAAAATACAGTGGTTCCCTGGAGTATGTTATCATTTCAAACTACACTATGGTTTTCACACTTGCCCATATTACTAAGCAGTACAGCCTTTCATTTTTTTTACAACTCTTTTAACTAATATTAACATGCTTCAAATCAAGGGCAGACTTAGGGCACCCAGGCAATGGCCAAGGGTCAGAATCTGCCACAATCTGCCCTTGCCTTTTAATGCCTTATATGATTGTTCTTCAAGTCACTCAGTTTGCCAGGGTCCGTCCACTTCATACAGAAATCTTGCATTTTTCAATTATGTGTATGAGCCCATCCCTCATCTTAATATTGTTCCTGTATAGCAGTTCTTTCACACAATTTTTATTTATTATATTTAGTACAGCTGATAAAGCAGTAGAAGGGACTGCTGTGCTTAACTTAATGTTTTTTTTTCCAATTCTTAGCTTATTTTGCATTTTTCCCCCTCTTCCTCGTTATATTTCCTTTTTATAGTCATGAGTAATATTGCATACACTTAATGGGAATAAGAATAATTATTGCAGAAGAGAACTGTAGGTTATATAGTTTTTTTGTTTTTTTTTCTCAAAATATACAATTTTATAGTACAAATAAATATATTCACACGCATCTCCACAATGCATTCTGCAATTCTTACTGATATATGTACCTAATTAAGGCTATATCTATTATCATATTGTTTCTAGACTCTTTTACTCATGTGTGTTCATGTGAACATTGTGATAAAGTAATTTCTGAATTTATATTGCAACATGATTTTGATGTATCAATTAATATGAACCACACTTTATACCTAGCATAGCCCATTAACCTTCTATTAAATCAGTATACATATCATTATTGTTAATCATAACATTGTAACTATTGAATATTTCATCAAACTTCAGAAACCTGAAACCAAATTAGAAAAGAAATCAAAATAAATATATAACCAGACTTGTTTATGTGAAGAGTAAATACAATTAAATGATTTTTTCTTCTGGTAGTCAGTTTTCACACATTTAACCCATTTGCCTTGGATTTATGTTCTGTCCCCTGTAGTTTTTGGTGAATTTTGTTACATACAGATGGCCCCACATGTGCTCAGCTGGCAAGGAGTCTATCAGTAGCCCTAGTGATTGATCCTGATTTCCACATTCCTTTTATTATTGTTATTATTATTAAATTGTTATTAAAAGATCGATAACATTTAAGACAATGAAATAGTGCAAAAGACCCTTTCTAAAAATTGAGGAAATGGGTAAACAGGTGAGATAGGTAGGACTAATAACCTACTCCTTGGTGACTCAGCACTTGTAGAGCCATCTATGTGTAAATACTTTTATTACAATGGGCATGGCATGTATTCTTGCCATATGGGGTGATTGGGTTAACTCAAAACAAAAACCCAAAGGTGATTAGAAATAAAGATTCCTTATGTTAATAACAAATCTATACATGTTATTACCAAAGTCGTACAATCAAGGCTTGAAATGCATGATTTAGATTTATTGTAAGAATTAAAATATATGATCAAAAAAGCTCTTTGATGAAATAATCATAATTACATACTGTTTTTGCTACAAAGGAAGGCTGTTGTTTTGCAAAACAAAGGCTAATTATACTGCATAGTACTTTGAGAAACTTAAAACCGTGTCAAAGTTATCACCATTAGAAAAGAAAGAAGTTAGGATAAATCACCAAAATGCCAAATGATGTATCTTTCATGAATTCTTAATGTTATTGATGTCTTCTCACTTTGTGTAATCCATTGTAAAGTATTAATAAATGTTTGCATTTTTTAAGAATATTTTCCCTGTTCCTGGTGTTGTCATCCTCTAGCAAAAGCTAAAAATGTTGAAAAGTTACTTTCACAAACTCAGTGTGGGGGTTGGTGTGGAGTTAGACGTGTGGGGGTGTACATACATAATATTTTCAAGTGGTTCAAATTAAGTCCTTGTTTTGTATGTGTAAGTGTAAGGTTACAATTTAATGAACTTGGAGATAAAATGAATGGATTAGTACAAAAGGCACTTCTTGGACTATCTTCCACAAATTACTATTCAAATCTTCATAAAGTAGACACCTAAGATAAACATTAACTTTGCAAAATCATTACAGGGCAGCTTCCAAATGCAGGATACACAGTTATCCCTTTATGTGTCTTTGGGTATTCAATGATAACCTCAAGTATCCAGTCACACTAAGACTCGTCCCTTTCAGTCTAATGACTTGGCTTTCAAATGGAAGAATTGAAAATACTTCCGTCATAAATACTCTCCCATATTTTACAGAAAATAAACACCATGCTTTTTATGTGTTACTTTGTAATTGTACATCAATATACAAATCATAGAAAGTTCATTTACACACATCAACTTTAAATGGAAAAGCAAAAAATACATCCTATTCATGATAACCTAAGTGCTTAAACTTTGTAGAAAAATATGTACAAATCTGACTAGTATATAGTCTATCCAAACAATAAAGCTTTAATGTAAACATATGCATGGAATGAAAGACATCAAGTATTAGTTGCGGCTGGCAGGAAATACTGGAGTGTTACATCATCGTTTATGAGGAACAGGTGGATTGTGCGGTCTTCTACAATATCTATAACCAGAAAATATACATATTAGCTATTTACAAAAACAGGTACAGGAAATTATTATCTTAATTTGTGATATTCACTGTCGAAAAATTATGGAGCCAAATAAGGAAGACAATTCAAAATGCTACCACATTTCTTTCTATGTCTTATAAGAAGAAATGTGTTAAAATATTCTTCTTCTCCTTATATGTTTTTCTATCATCAAAAAATATCAGTGATGAAAGCAGTAACTCCTAACCTATAACAAACTGTTCTAAAACTTTCATATCATTTCAGCTGCAGTGCTAGATTATACTAGAAAAAAAGGCAAACAAAGACACACCTGCAGATAATGAGAATTATGAAAAGGAAACAGAACTGTAATATACTTACTACATATAACCTTAGTAGGACCTCCCTGTTCACCATGCAGAAACAGTGCTAACTTCTTGATATCCACTGTGGCAGAGTGCAGCTCTTCTGGTGCCGACTCCCTGCTGTCCTCCTGACCCTCTGAAATAATCACATGGCCAATATCACACAGCTCTCTCATCAAGCCAGTCACAGGGGTAACATTAAATGACACTGTTTAAAGGTCGACAAAAAACTTGATTCAAACACTGATACACTGTTGAAAAAATAAAAAAAAAACAAAAAAAAACTTATGACTGAGACCCCAGAAGAATCTCTATATTGTCTACTAAATTCTATGTTCCATAAAAGCTGAAAGAACTAAAGCCTTAATTGTTTTTTTTTATCATCTACCTTACTTTCTGAGACATAACTCATTAAAATAAAAGTGCCAATATATGATACATGGAAAAAAAAGTAGAAAAATCACAAATCATACTTGTCATTCAAACATGGATGACAAATATACATATACAAAAATACATACATTTCTAACACTAATCAAACCTTTAAAATTTAGAAAAAATAAGAAAAGAATTATCACATTATACAGCCACTGCAAACCACAAACCCCACTTTGCAATAAATTAAACCTATATAATGCAGCAGTATCTCTCTCCTGACTTACCCCAAACAGGCATAGGTAAATGCCTGAAATGAGTAGAAACTTTGACAGTGTCTGTGGTGACTCCGACCACCAGCGTCCCTCTTCTATTTGCTGATAAGGATACATAAGGGGACAGGGTTTTCATTCGCTCTATTACGTGCTTCAGCTGACGGAGGGGAGGCAGATAGACGGAAGCTTGGAACTCGGGCATTTCTGGCTCGTGGTATATGTGCCACTGACGACGAGGAATCAGCTGCACTGGCACATCATGGACCACAAGCCTTGCATGTACAGAGAGTGATGGCTTTGGGAATGGGATGAAAGGGGAAGACATAAGCTGAGTCCATAAAAGTGGAAGAAAAAAGCCTGACTATGAAAAAGCAAGCAGGCTTATTTTAATCAGCATTCTCATCAAATTTGCAGACAAATTAATTTTTTTCATTAGTTTCACTGTTATTATACATAAAATGCAAGAAAAATCCTTATCAAAATCAAGAGGTTAGCAGAAGGAAGAAAGGAAAGGAAATAAAGAGAGAGAGAGAGAGAGAGTGAGAGAGAGAGAGAGAGAGAGAGAGAGAGAGAGAGAGAGAGAGAGAGAGAGAGAGAGAGAGAGAGAGAGAGAGAGAGAGAGAGAGAGAGAGAGGGGGGGGGGATAATTGACAGAAATATACACACACACGTAAGTGAAATTTTTGTTACCTACCAACTCAGCCTCCAAGGTTAGACAAGGACTGTGTTTTCTAGTTAACTTGATTTTCACACTACGGGCTGATTGGGATGACTTGAGGGAGTTCAAAGTTCTTGATAACTTATCTGCAATCATTATAAGTCAAATTATAATGCTAGAAGACTACAGGCCATTTTGTTGAAAAGTTGAATAAATACTTCCCTGGCATTTACACCTTTTTATGATAGTCGACTCCTTGTCCATTTGAAAATACATCAGAAAAAGACAATGATTTCTAGGGCCTAATATCTAAAGCATCAAGACTGCTGACCTTCCAACACAGACCACAGGAAGTTTTTGGATTTGAAAAGAGGACATGAGAGAAAAGAGAGAGAGAGAGAGAGAGATAGGGGGAGAGAGAGAGAGAGAGAGAGAGAGAGAGAGAGAGAGAGAGAGAGAGAGAGAGAGAGAGAGAGAGAGAGGAAGTGCAGTGCCTACTTTTCCAGACATTTAAATATCTAACAACCTCTTATCTTATATCTTTTCAACACAAAACACACACTGAGGGCTCTACCCACCTGGCTGCAGCTCGAGGAAGATCTCGTTGTGTTCCTCCGAAACTCCCTCCATGTTGAATTCATTGAAGAAATGGCCTTGATCTACTTCTGCCCACAGGCCAGGGCTACTGCCAACAGCACCTCCGTCATTTATGATGAAGAATACCTTCTGTGGGGTGATGCGCAGCACGCACACTTTGGCTAATCTTGCCACAGTGTTTACAATAACTGCAAAATATAAAATCATATCAATAAATAGCTTTTATATAGTGGAATAACATGTGCTTATTCTTTTAATCTTTTCTTCTGTTACTGGATCATTATAAAAACATGTTAAAGGATTCTTTAAAGATATTTTTTTCCCTATCAGTAAGCACACACACATATATATACATACATACATATCTATATGTATATGTATATATATACATATATATACATATATACATATATATATATATATATATATATATATATATATATATATATATATACATATATATACATATATATACACATATATATACATATATATACATATATATATATATATATATATATATATATATATATATATATATATATATATATATATATAATACACACACACACATGCACCCATACACATAAACATATATAAATACATATATATTGAAGAAATACATACACACACACACACAAATATATACATATACAGGCTGCGAAAAATCCCACATCCGCACGTCTTTGACGAGTGTAAACTTGTGGAGGACAAGTAAAATGTTTACCTCGCTTGTCCGCATGGACGAGTAAAAATTTCCAGTAGATTTTTCCCTAAAATTAATGAAATCTAGCAAGGTCTAGTTCCTTTCAGTTCTATGATTATGGAGGCTGCCATATTTGTTTATATTAGTTTCATATATTAGTTATTTATATTAGTTTCATATATCACAGTTGATAAATTTCTTTATAATATATATATATAAATATTTCGGACAAGTGGTATTCAGAAGAGAACGAGTGGAAAGTCAGGTGTACTTGTCCTCCTGGACAAGTGAAAAAAAAAAAGATTTTTCGCAGCCTGATATATATAATATATATATATATATATATATATATATATATATATATATATATATATATATATATATATATATATATATATATATATACACACACACACACATATATACAGATATATACAAAAAAATACATCCAAAAATACAAGTGTTTGTGTAGGGGGGGGGGTGTATGTGTTCTTGTAATATTTATATTTCTTTTTATAAAACAAATAATCAAGAGCTAATCATCACCATCAGAGCAATACGGAAAAATATAAACATTTCTTGCACAATATTAATTAATCTATGTGCGTTCCTTCATGTAATATCAGATACATATATAGAGATACAGCCTCACTGGAGTTCATCAGCTTTATCTCATCAGAGGTTCCCTTTAGCTTCCTGACACAGAAACCGCTTTCCAACAGGTCGAAATAACGTAGGCCTACATATGAGCTGGCAGACATGACCTTAAATCTCGTGGAAAATAGTCGCTTCAGCACTTTAGTCAACTTACATGAACTGTCATAGTAGAGTTATTCAGTTCCTATGTTTAAATAATAAGGGTTAAGAAAAAAAATGTAATTTGGTACACATTCTGAATTTCTTAAAAAAAACATTCAGTGTAAATTAGTAACTTTCTGCACTCCGGCAACAGCCAACAGAGTATATATTACATATATTTTTTTTTAAGTCACTATAGCTGTTTTCTATGCACTCATCACCAAATCCTTTCATAGCAAAAAAAAATGTAATTTACATGAGAATTATATTTCAAAATCTTACGCGACTTCAACCAGACTGACACTTGTCTATTTCTCTCTCTTCGCCGCGTGATTTAAGGCACTTTACAGAACCAGTAAAGGCCTTACCCGTAAACTGCTTAATGCACATAATATCCGTCATTTTCCCTCTGAACTTCATCTTGAAATTAGTAAAATAAGGAGATAAATTTTAAGCAGAGATGTTGTTGTTCCTAAGGTTGGTTAAGGGAGAATGCGTATATCGACACTGCTATGATGCAATTTACTTGAGTATTAAAAAGAAAGAATAAGTCATCAAAATAAAACAGGTAAATAGATAAAAAGGCTTAGCGTGGGTACTTTCAGATGGTTCTCTTATTTACGTATTTGTTAAATCTATTTATTGTAAAGTATTATATACATAATCCTTATTACTTACTGCCATAACTTTGTATGTACGATAACTATCCGGAATTTTATTAGAGATGGAAATTAAACTGTTCTTGTATTTTAAATGATATTGGCTGTATTGTTAAGAAAATGATTAGACACAAAGTCGTCGAAATAGTTTATAAATGTTCACCTTCATCAAAATAGATGGAACAATCATTTGATATCCGAAAGGCCTTTTATTAACGAATCACGATCATTTTCGGCAGAAATATAAAACAAAAGCGTTAGATTAAATACTAGAATGTATAGTAAATATAATAAATAGTATTTGATGAAAAAAAATCAACAGACAGCAATAAAACAACAATAAAAACAAAATCGGCACCACCTTTCCCCTTTTAGTACGCCGTCCCTGAAAGTAAACACCGAGGGAGGGACGAGACGCGACACACGTGTCGGCAGATGCTACGGAGGCCTCTTTTAAACCTTTCTCAGAGCTGACTGCTAAGGCCTATTTTAAGCCTTTCTCATACCTGACTGCTGGGTTTACGAACGGGAGCCGTAAATGTCATTGACGCCGAGGACATTTCTGAAGGACAGATGGTCGTGGTAGATCACTCGAAGATGGATGTAAGTAGCCAACCACGTCTGGTTTTGTTTCTTTCCTTCCTTCATAATAGAGTTGAACTTCCAAATTGAACTAGAGGAAGCATCCCCACACATTATTCAGTTTAGGGTGCTGATGTGGCCTCAGTCCCAGGAAGATTTGAGGCTAGATCTAAAGGTTATGGCGCTCTCCAGTGAGGATATGGAAGTTTTATGCTTAGTGTTTGTGCAGTGATCGAAGAAGAAAGAGGGAAAAGGAAGATATAAAAGTGGATGAAAGACTGGCTGATGAAGCAAGAGAAGGTTTCGCACTCAGACATTCACACGGAACTGAAACTCGAAAAGGAGGTCTGGTTCAGTAACTTGAGAATGGACTATTACACGTATCTCCAGTTACTGTCAATCATGGGACCGAGCATCACCAAGGAAAGCACACTCATGAGGAAATCCGTTTCAGCCCACGGCAGACTGAAAGCCACACTGATGTTTCTTGCGACAGGACAGGCATAAGAAGAGCTCAAGTATACGACTTCAGTTTCAGCACAGTCATTGGAAAGAATTGTTCCGGAAACATGTAAGGTTTGCAATTTTCCCCACAGTCTTGGAGTTTATGGTGGCAAGTATGTTCTTATCACTCCTCAACCCAGATCTGGAACGCGCTTCTACAACTACAAAGGAAGTTTCAGCATGGTGTTGATGGCCATTGTCAATAGCAATTATGAATTCATAATGATTAACTTTGGAAAGAATGGCAGTATATCAGATGGAGGTGTGACTGCTGAGACTCAATTTTATCAGTTACTCAACAAAAATTGTCGGCATATTCTACCATCAGACTTTCTCTCTGATTCCAACCATGAGCTCCCATATGTATTCATTGGTGACAAAGCCTTTTTTTCACTGAGGAATGATTTTCTGATACCTTTCATTCAGAAAGAGTTAAATCATCCAGAGAAGATATTTAACTACAGGCTATCCAGAGCTTGTATGATGATTGAGAGGGTTTTTGACAGCATGGCATCAGCATTTAGAATTTTTGAATCCCCTATCAACCTTGGTATACAAAACATTGAAGCTGTGGTCATGGCATGCTGTATTCTGCACAACTTCATCTGCAAAAGTTGTGGAGGTCTGCCAGGGTCACCCTCACCAAACACTTCAGGAGAGTCTGTAGCTATGGCAAATGAGACCTTTTTAGCTTTGGATGAAGGCCATTATGAATGTTCATTAGAAGGGGCTGAAGCTGTTCGTAAAAAAATCATTAACTCCTTCAGTACGTATAGAACAGTTCCTGGCTAAGAACAGATGATCCACTGATTTTTTTGTGTATGAGAGAGAGAGAGGGAGAGAGTGCTTAATTGATTAGGACAACTTCTGTGCTGCACAGGGGAAAGGTATGTAAGCTATTTAACAGATGTAATTGTATAATTATTTAGTTTTATGACTTCTCAGTGTGAATGTTAATCCAGATGAATACAATATTTTAAATGATAAATATGTTTGCTTATTAAAAGCTATTAGGCTACTTTGCTGGCATTCCAGTTATAGTCAAAATATTATATTTTTGTAATAAATTTCTGCTTATTACATTTTGATATATAACTTACCTTTAAAGTGTTAATTGATTGTCCCAGGATTTTCTGGTCCTTTAACTCTTTACTGCTAAGGATATTATATCCCATCAGATTTCATCTTTAGAACAAAAGGGAGCAAATACCCTTGACATCACTCACAGTTACTTCTTGTGATGTTTCCAGATGTAGAAAAAACAACTCTTAACCTAATGCTATCAGTGCTGACATGTATACACATGCTATGGCTACTATGAGTTCAGTTTTTCATTTTGTATACACATAGTAGATTGCTCTGTAAGTAGTCAGTTACAAGTCTTACCTGTCTCACCTGGTTACCTTCTTGATATTTGGAAATATATATATATTTTATATTGTCATTAGTATTGCTAATAACATTATGATAATTATAATGTTGGTTGTAATAATAACAGTACCTGTATTCAATGACATTTTTAAAAATCCAGAAAACACAAGAAAGATGGATATCATGCAAGGCCACACAGACTTGCTAATTGACTCCTTGGTGGTTGAGCACTTATGGAGCCATCTATATGTATACTAATCTCTCAAAACAAAACTACAATATACATTGGAGATTCTACTACATAGATTCAGTTTTGATTGCAGTGTCAGAAGTGGCCAGAAAACTGAGTTTATCAGAGCTTTTATAGGGGGGTAAGTCTGTAAAGTATACAGCATATCCAGGATTTGGAACATATTAAGAATGAGATTATTTAAAGATGGAAAAACTGAGGAAAATAATACATTATTGGGTATAAGAAGTGATCTGCAAAAAACAAAAGGTAATGCAGTTAGACATCAAAGTATAAATCATTATATATGTGCCCAAGTCCAGTAATACCATGACTGAGTGGCCTCTGCACAAATCTCTACTGTATATCTTGTTTGCTATTTATCATCAGACAAGGAACTAGTGTAAACTACCTTGCTTAATTCATGTAGGGGAATGTTTGTTGGCTTTGCTTGAATGTGCAGCATGGAGGCTATAGCATCACTTCATATGGTTCTGTTCAGAATAATACACAAAATTTATACAAGCAAATGTTTTTATATGTATTGTTTAGATAGCCATATAATTTATTTTTTACATAATTTTCGGAAGATTATTCTTTTCCTCTTACTGTTATTATTTTTTAAGTACTTTATGTATATTTATCAGGGACTGTAATTATCTTTACAAGCAGAATGATGATAATACAAATCTGCAGTATCTCCTTATTGTTCTGCCTTCCCTGTATATTGGTTTTGCTTTATTCATGATATATCGTCTGTTTAGTCAGATTTCTGTTTTAGACATATGTTGTTTAAATTTCTTATTTTGCAGGATAATATCAATGCAATTGTGGCTTCGGATTTGCCTAGAGGAGTTGCATTACTGGCTGATTTGACAACAAATATCAATAATGTTACTGTTGGACTCCTTGCATTGAAAGAAAAGATTGAAAATGATGAATTAAACTCTTCTAAGGTATGTTCATGTTGTTATGTCTTTATGATCCTGATTAAATAAGTCAACAAAGACAGCGAGAGAAAAAGACAGGCACGTTGATAAAGAATACTGATAATCTGTTAAGCTAATGATTTGTATTTTCCTCATACATGTGGCTACAAGTGCAACTTTTGTACCCCAATTCAGTGTAATTTGCACCTGTAAATACAATCTCTTCCTTGTTATAATACCCCCTTTGTTACAACCACCCCTTCTATCTAAGTATTTTTTCCTCAAGTTGTCTTGTGTTGATGATTCACAACCAGGAACTAGATAACACCTAGGGGAGGAATCAAAATTTCAGAGGCAAATTTTTTATCAAAAGAGGAATGAGGGTAGAATTCTAGTAAAGAGAAATGGGGAATGATCTAATCTTCTCTTTTATGCTCATAGATAAAACAAATACCGTTTCCAGTATGCATATATAGGGATGATATCAAGATACCATCCCTAGGTTTAATTTAATTTGTTTAATTGTTGTGAGTGAGGGCAAGTGAAATATACCATTTTCACTTTTTTTCTTTTCTTTTTTTTCCTTAATGTAATCAAACCTCATGAAATGTTTTGTTTTATAAATTGATTTGATATCTGCCACTGAAAGAATACAATGAAGATGATTATTTGACTCTTTAGATGGGCAAGTCATTTGGGCCGACTAGGGAGGAATGTGACAGGGACTTAAGGAACTGTTGCTTTAACCGTTTGTACATTTACTGTCCACTGTGAATTTTGTTGCACACAAGTGACCTCATAAGTGTTCAGCCACTAAGGAGTTATTTCGTACGCGGGACATGACTTCACCTTATCTCTACTTTCCTTGAATTTTTTGGAAAGGTGTTTTTTTCTAATGGTAATGATGTGGATGTTGTTATTATTATAGATGGTATTATGATTATTCTAATGTCATTAGAAGAAAATAAAACAAAAATCTTACAAAAAATTAAGGAAAAGGGAAAACAGGTGATTTAGCTAGTAAAGAATTCCTTCGTAAAGCATTTGTGGAATCATATTTGTGTAAAGACAATTTATGAATTAGAATTACAGTGGCCATGCTATGTATGTCATACCATCCCAGCATGAGGGATAACTATGCTAACTTTCCATATTTCCCCACACATGTACAAGCGCATGCACATACATTTTTTCCTTTTATGTTTACTTTTCATATTCTTTCAGGGCCTAAGTCTGCTGGAGCTGAAGAATCAGTCCTTTTTGATGTATTTGTCCAATCTCGCGTATGTGACTCTCCGTAAACTACGCGGGGCAAAGTTAGAGAATGATCCATCTATCGGTAAGATTTTCTCTTTCTTCTTGCAGTCTTTTTTAAGAGTTCAAACGGAATACATTTATGGTTCCCAAGAAGCATTTTGATATTTTGTTAGATGCGTACATATTTTATAACATTAATAATATAAAGATATTACAAAAATTATCAGAGGGCATCACTGAAAGGCCAAAGTCACACGCCTGAGTTGTTAATAACATTTTTTTGCATTCCACTGATATGATTGCATCCTTCTGACAATTTCTGTGTTATGTTTTTAGAGAACTGATAATTTTCCTTCTACCTTGTTGATAGGAAACTGTTTGGAAGTAAGGGGATCTAGGGTCATCTCTGATCAATAATTTGGAATAAAATGTAAGAGGATAAAACATTAAGGATGCAGGTTGTTATGTTAATTGTTGATGTAGCTATTCAAAAGTTATTTATTGGTTTTATTAACTTTATGGGTAGTGGTTATAGATGTTGAATTATTTATTTCTGACAGGAAATTGAGGTTATGAATTGTGATATTTTGTAAAAAAAAAAATAAGCAAGTTAAAAAAAATAAAAAAAAACATAAAGTGCCACGTCTCAAAGCACAAGATGGAAGCCATTATCATACTCTTGTTCTTCTTCTCCTCTGTATATTTTGATATTGTTATTACATACTACAGTTTGTAGCAAGATAAATCAGCAACTTCAGGAAAATGTAGTGTTATTCATAATGCACTTTTCTACTTTTTTTCTTTCAGACCGTTTGGTTGAATTAAGAGTGGTTTTAGAAAGAATACGTCCTCTTGAAGACAAACTAAAATACCAAATTGATAAATTTTTGAAGGTAAGTTTTTCTCTATGTACCTTGCACTATTGCCAGAAATTATATGTAGGGAAAATAGTTATACAAAGGCAAGGGATATGGAGTTAACTCTTAAGTTTTGCTGATGTATTGTCACTGGTTTATTTTATGTCACAAATTCTCATTTTAAAAAGACTAGGAAAGCACCTTCTCCAAAGGACTTGGGTTTCAGCAGTGAAAGACCATTATGCAGTAGGCTATAATGCTATAGGATTTCCATCCTACACTCGGCCCATTGTCAGAACTCAAAACTACTTACTAGGAGACTATCTTGGTCCTCAGTAATTTGAACTACTATGGGAACCTTCACTAGACTACTATCACTGGCAGTTGGATAAAAGTTTTAGACAAAACCTTACTTTTAACATTCCATTTATTTTTCCCATCATCCACAAACAGATAGCAACAGAAGGTGTACTCAGCGAGGATGACCCGACCAGATTAAAAGGAAACCTCGACAATATTGGTTCTTCTTCAGATGAGGAGGAAGATGAAGACAAGACAAGTAGTGGAAAGAGTGCAACTAAGGAAGAAGACAAAACGTATAGAATTCCCAAAATCAGTCAGACTCCTTATGGTAAGCTCTTTATTTAAGAAGCTGTAACTATAATTATAACAATAACTGTTGAATAGAAATATACAGTTATAGAAACTATAACTATAGCTATATA